GGGAAAAATTGAATATATGAGGAATAAAAATAATTCAGAATGGGGCCAGCAGGTGATGTGGTGGTTAAGGTGTTGGACTCTCCCGTGGCTGACTGTGGTTTGAACTTGAATTGGCAGCTTGAAAATAATGCTGGATGTATGTGCCTAAAACTCCAAGAGAAGAATAGAAGTGAAGAGATTGCAATGTGGCCATTCCCCTGGGGGGGGGGGAGGTTGATTTCTCACTTGCCTTCTCTGGTTGTCTCTCTAGTGAGTGCATGTGCCCTATGACACATACACAAGGAAAAAAAAAAAAGCTTAAAAAAAAAAAGAAAAGAAAGAAATGGAGAACTACAGTGTTATTAAATCTTGATAAGATTATGGTCAACTGTGGTTTCAGTTCTGGACCTGGAGGCATGAGAGTGATGCTGGGCATGAATGCATGCATGCCCAGGACCTTGGGAGGAGAATGGAGAAGGGATTGCAATCTCACTTTCCTTTACCCTTTCCCTGTCTCTTCTCTCTCTTTCTCCAGTGAGTATATACACTGTATTACCAAAAAAAAAAAAACTTAAAAAATTAGTAACAGATCTGTAGGAAAGAGAATTTAGAGAGAAGAATACAACCTTTTGTTCTTAAAACATTGAAAATGGGAACTGGCAGGTGGCATGGTGTTAAAGGCTCTGGACTCTCACATTCTCACATGACCGACTGTGGTTCAAGTCTGGACCTGGCAGCTTGCTTTCTCACTTACCCTCTCACTCTCTCCCTCTCATTCCCTCACTCTGTCCCTCTCTGATCAAATTATAATAAGTAAATAAATAAATAAATTCTTAAAAAACACCCTGAAAACATGTGATTAAGACAAGCTAAAATAGCACAAACCTTTGTTTAAAAACATTTTTTTTAAACATAGTAGAGTTTTTAAAGAAACATATATCTGTGGTTCACAAAGCAGTTCCTAAGGCCAGCAATGTGGGAGTTAAAGCAGCTGGATTCCAGCATGGACAAGTGTGCAGTTCCAGTCCTGGACCTGGCCACTTGAAAAACATACTGGGCATATTGTGCATGTGTACCCAAAATCCTGAGAGGAAATTGAGACGGGATTGCAGCGTGGCTTTCCCCGGGAGTGCTTTCTCACTTTTCTGTCTTTCTCTGTCTTTGGTGAGTGCATGCATTCCTTAGTAAAAATTTTTTTAAAAAAATTTAAAAGAGTAGTTTATTTAGTTTTTTAGTTTAAATTCAAGTAAAATTTAATGATTTAAATTTAAAATAGTAATATCTGAAATTCAGACAGGATTTTTTGTGTTATTTTGTCCCTGTACTGCTTCAATTTTTGAGTAGTGTACATTTATCATTTTTATGAAAAATGTCTTTTTTTATTCTAATGAGGAACAGCTCTTAGTCATTTCAAAACTAGATATTTAAATAGTCTTCCTTTATTCTGATAACTTACAAATCTGGCATTTCAAATTATTTTAAAACACTTCTTGTCAGAGGGTGTGTGCATTGACTGGAAAGAGACAGAGAGAAGGAAAGTGAGAAAGCACTTCCCATGGAAGATGGCTACACTACAGTACTTTCTCTGTTTTTCCTCTTTTTGGAATTTTTGGCAGATAAGCATACACTCCTGGCTTGTTTCTCAAGCCACAGGTCCAGGACTCGAACATGTCGTCAGCCATGTAAAACTGTAGAAATAATGCTATTAGTTTAGCATAAAAAGTCATGTTTTCAACAGCATAAAATTAGTATCCTTTATTTTGACATGAAAACTTATGTAGCTAATGTTAACAAAGTACATCTCTAGTCATCTAAGCATTAAATAATTGAAAACCATTTTCTATGTAATTATGGTAATGATCATTTTTGGGAGGCTGACTCGAGCCTAGTTACTAAAGAGAACCAGATCCCACATGGGCACAATTTTAATCCTGGCCTCTGTGTTTTGAGAAACATGGGACTGTCTGGGCATGTGTGCATACATGCCCAAAATGCAGACAGGATTGAGAAGTGGAGGAGCAGAGATTATAGTGTGACCACACCCTTTTGGGAGGTGGCTTTCTCCCCATTTCCCTTTTCTCTCTCTCCCACTCTCTCTCTCTGCTTCTCTCTAACAAGTGTATGTGCTCTCTGGCAATAAAAAAAATATTGTTAATCATAAAAACAGCAATTGTTTTTTTAGGTAAGCCAGCGTATGATATAGAGAGAAGAAAGGGAGAGGGAAAAGGAGACAGCATCCCCCAAAGGGACATGGTAACACTGCAGTTCCTTCTCCTCCATTTTTCCACCCTGTCAAGATTTTGGATATGCATGCACACATGCCCAGCATGTTTCTCAAGCTACTGGGGCTTAGATTCTAACTGTGATTGGTGATGTAGGATCCAGCTCCTTTAACCACTAAGCCATGAGATAACTTGAAAATAGCAACCTTTTACCTAAGTGCCTCTTTTTTCTAAATGAGTTACCTTAATGATTCTTTTTTCTTTTCTTTTTTTTGGGAGAGGTTTTTACTATAGGGAGCATGCGCTCGCTGGAAAGACAGAGAGAGACAGAGACAGAGAGAGAGAGAGAGAGAGAAAGCGAGAAATCACCCCCCCAGGGGGAATGGCCATGCCGCAGTCCCTTCTCCCCCATTCTCATGAGATCCTGGACATGCACGCACATGCGCCCGGCAAGAATTTTAAGCCACCAAGTCTGGGACTCGAACCGCGTTCGACTACATGGGAGTCCAGCGACATAGCCATTAAGCTGCTAGTCCCACCTTAATGATTCTTTTCCTCCCTTTCTGTAATTTAAAACAATATGTAGTTATTCTTTCTCAAAGAAGAAATGATGTTTTTACCCCGAATATTTATTTTCAGAACATTTTGACATACACTATCCTGAATCTTAATCAGATTACCAATTTGAAATCTATTCATAGTTTATATCGGCTCTATTCAGATTTAAAATTTTTTTGATCATGCCCGGCTTTTGGTAATATGTTTGCTAAAAGTGAAAGAAACAGAATAATTCCTTCATTAGAAATGCACTTAGAAGTTTCCTCCACATTTAAGGGTTATGTGAAAAGTCGAATTGTGTATTACAAGAAGAATAGGTGTATTTTTATTATTGATTAAAGATTTTTCACGAAAGACCTAATGTCTCTTTGTTTTTTGTTTGCAGAAAAGAAAGGAACCAGTTTTTCTTTTTTTTTGTGATACCTGTGATCGTGGTTTTAAAAATCAAGAAAAGTATGACAAACACATGTCTGAACATACAAAAGTAGGTTTTCTTGATTGTCCTGAAATTTAAGTATCAAAATGACCTCCTATCTGTAGTTTTGGTAGAAATTTAAGTATGACCTCCTATCTGTAGTTTTGGTAGAAATCCTGAACTTGCTTTCCTTAACAGTTTATAGTTTTCTTGGTAATGTTTCTTGATGACTTGGAAAAGGGGGAGAGTGACCTTGGATTTGCGGTTTGAGGGTAGAGAGCCCACTGATTTAGAGAGAGATAGAGTGGCAGCAAAGAAAAGGGATCTAGATGGCAGCTCTTCTTATGTGTGTCCCCCCTCTGCGGGTGAGAGGCTGGGCCTTCCCTCCTGTGTCCTGTGTACTTTTGTGAATTCTTTCCCCTTTGAGGCTACCCATGACCATTTAATCATACTGTAGTTTGTTTATGCCTATCACCTTCTAAGGATGTCCCAGACCTTATTAAGTATTTAAAAAACATTTTTTTAAAACCAGAATGTTTTAAAAATTAGAAAGAAATTTTTTGGTTTGGAAAGATTTTCAGTTTAAGGACTTCTCCTCAGCTTTAGAAATTAAGAACATTTTACAATATTGCTGATTTTATGCTCTCAAGTGGAGAAGCAAGTGAGAAGTATTACTGTGCCATGTACTTTGAGAGTGTCATTCCTTTCTAAGTGCAGCTCTGTTTTAAAGTGATCTTAGGTGTGCTGGTGACATAAGTGTGCAGTGATAATGCCACATACATGGCTTAGCTCTGTAAGATGAGCAGAATATGTTTGTGTATGTATAATAGGATAAACTTAATATGGAAAATATTAAATAATCTTTTTAAAAAAAACTCTTACAGTGTCCTGAAGCAGACTGCTCTTTTAGCGCACATGAAAAGATTGTTCAGTTCCACTGGAGAAATGTAAGTTCTTATGGGTGTTGGGGCGGGGGGAGTCAAGGGGACTTTTTTATTGGTTACACATTCTCTTTATTTTATTGATCTGTTATCAGTTTTTTATTTGCAAGGCCTAATACTAAATAACATTCATAGAGTACTTTGTCAGAGATTTGTATATCTCACTCAATTTTAGCTTCATAAACAACTATGTGAAGTAAGTAAATATGGACCCTGTTTAACAGGTTTTTTAAAAGATGATTTGCCCAAGGCTTCAGAAGTGATCCTTGGCAGTTGAGGGTTTTTTTTTTTAAGTTTCTTTTTTTTTTTTTTTTAAATTTACCAGAAGGTGCATGTGCTTGCTGGAGAGAGACAGAGAGAGAGAAAGCACTCCCCAGTGGGATATGGTCATGCTGTGATTCCTTCTCCATTTGTCTATCCTGTTGGATTTGGGGCACATGCATACATAATGTGCCCAGTGTGTTTTTTAAGTTCCTGGGACTGGGATTTGAACCACTAGACTATGGGACTGGCCCAAGTTGAATTTCTTGACTTCTACATTTTATGCTGTTTTTACTATACCATGATGCTTCAAATTGTCATGTCTACTCATTTCTTTAGTTTTCGTCTTACATTTTAGTTGGTTGTCATCCACTGGGTATTTGATATCACTTAAGGAAATGGGGGACATACCTTCCTTGTAACACAAATCATGATACTCTTTTTTCCCCCCTCTATTAATGACACTAATCTAAACATATGAGAAATTACTTATTTTTCTTTAAAAGAAAAGTCATTAAGGATGAATAAAAGCCTGCTTCCAGGGCTAGCAGGTGGCATTGTGGTTAAGGGCACTGGGTTCCCACATACCCAACCATGGTTCGAGTCCTGGGCCTGGCGGCTTGCTTTCTCACTTTCCCCCTCTCTCTCTCTCACTCTGTCCCTTTCTGGTCAAACTAAAATAAATAAATAAATAAATAAATTTAAATAAAATAATTTTTTTAAAGCTTGCTTCCTTTGTTTTAACATTGTTTCTGTCAGTAAATTTAATGTTGGATAAAAATTCTCCAAATTAGTGAAAAGTGTATGCTTCCTGATGTGTTCAGCTTTTTTTAGCAGGCTTTTCCCTCTAGATGCATGCTCCTGGTATGAAGAAGATCAAGTTAGACACGCCAGAGGAGATTGCAAGATGGAGGGAAGAAAGGAGAAAGTAAGTAAAAGTTCAGAAATAGTGAAATAACTTTACTTTACTATGGCAAGGCTAGGTACCTCAAACTAATATCCAAGGGATAACTTGGAAAAGGAAATTTGGTCTTTTATAACATTGTAAATATACAGCTGAAAATGACTAGTCCTGATTTTGTTGTTCTTCAAAATTGGTACATAGTGATACTGAGAATTTTGTCACTTATTTTTATATGTGTAGTTAAAATTCATTTGGATTCCCCCTATGTTGGTCCTAGGGATTAGGACTTTGAGCTATATTATATGAGACTATTATTAAGTGTAGTTCTGGAGAGATCCAATAGGAATTCTTTATTTACGTAACACGTGTGTCACAATGGAACCTATGTTGCTCTTTGGAAAGGAGCTATCACTGGCCACCCACTAGATGTGTGTGGCTGAGGCAGTTAGCGCTCTTATTTTAAAAAAACGTAATATTTTCCTGTTTATTCTTTTGGTTATTTCAACGAAAATTGTTGAGTGACTGCTGTGTGCTAGGTGGAGGGGATATAACAGTGAACAGAATACACATGTTCTTGATCTTAACTGTAAAGACACCAGGAATTTATTAATTCTTAACTGTAATTACAGTTTAAGAAATTTGAGCCTTCCTATGTGATATGACTTGTAGTTTTACACTTTCTAGCTAGAATATATTGAAGAGTCCTAGTTGGGCACAATTTTACCATGTCCATAGGATACTTTATCTGGAAGCAGAAAAATAAGGCAGAAGTATTGGAAAGATCAGGTGCTCTTTTCAAGTCAACTGCTGCTTTATGTCAAATGCTTTTTTTTTTGAATTGAGAAGTGAGTGCCTAATAATAAAAAAAAAAAGAGTTATACTTAAAGGTCAGGCAAGATGCTTAATTTTTTTTTTTTTTTAATTTTGCTATAGGGCACATTACTTGCTGGGGGGGTAGGAAGATTAGAAAGTACGAGAGAGAGAAAAAGAGAAATCACCCCCTGAGGGGGAATGGCCATGCCACAGTCCCTTCTTCTCCATTCCCCTCTGAGGGAAACAGCAGAAACACAAAGATTCAGAACCAACTGAAAACAAATATAATTTAGTAAAAATATATATAAATACCAGGCATGAATAGCATGTGAAGAGGAGAGTTGGATGGAGATAAAGGGACAATCAGAGGAATTTAATTTGCAATAGGAAGTGTGTACTTGCTGGAGACAGGAAGAAATCCCCCTGGGGGGGGTGGCCACACTGCAGTCGCTTCTCTTCCATTCTCTCAGGATTTAAGGCATGCGTGCACATGCGCTTGCCATGACACATACCACAATATCTAAGATTTAAACCATAGAATTGACCCTTGTGGTATCTAGTGCCTTAACCTCACCACCTGCTGCCTATGTGTCTTCTATTCTAACATGTGAGAACCACCGTTTATGTGGCTATTTCTATCCCATGGTGCTGTAGATATAAGGGATGTTGATGGGCCAGGTAGTGCTGCAGCGGTACCATAGAGCTCTGCCATGCTAGACCCATACATAAGGTTCCAGGTTTGCGTCCTGAGGCTTTGAACATATGTGTGTCCGCATGTGACCTGGGCTTGGTTGTATGTGTTATTATATGTAAGTGGGGCTTGAAAATATTTTTGTTCTGTTTTGGTACCTATAAGTAAGGATTAGAGAAATCTTAACTAAGATTTTAGGTTTTACCAGAGGGTGTGTACACTTGCTGGAGAGAAAGAGATAGGTGAGAAATAGGGAAAGCTAGAAAGCACCCCCCCACCCAGGGGTCATGTTCTTGCTGCATTCCGTTCTCCCATCTTTTCCTCCTTTCAGAAACTTGGACATGGCTGGCATGTTTTTCATGTTTTTTTTTTTTTTTAACCAGGTCTTGGCTCACACCACACAGTTGGCCAGCTACCTTAACAACCAGATCTTGGACTGGCCAAGACTTGAACTTTTAAGTCTTTTTCTGGGGGGAGGTGGGTGATGTGTGTGTGTGCATGTATACCTTTGTTATTTCTAGAGAAATTGGGTAGAAAGTATTGACCTGATTAATAGTTATGATTAGAAAGCAGTAATGTAACTTAACAAATAGTTACATTCATAGTGATAGTACTTAACTTGCTGCGGTTTTAAACAAAAAATTATTTCCACATAGGACAGACCATCACCGAGACAAGCCAAATTGACCGGTATTACAATGTATTGCTTTCTAAAGTAACTTTTCCCTATTTGAATGTGAACCATGCCACCTTGTGGTTTTGTGCAACAAGATATAAAAGGGAAAAAGTTTCTACTGGCTAGTGAAACCTGAGGAATATTCATATCTGAAGATGAAAACTAGCTTAGGTAGTATGTTTTTATATAAAGTCGCTGGTAGACTATCAGCTTGATTTTCTGTTTGTAGACGATGTCAGCAATCTTTGAATATATGTTCATGGATTTTATGATATATATGGTATCATTGAATAACTTATTGACAGTAGTTGAGGCCAGCAGGTAGCATGGTAGTTAAGGCACTGGACTCCCATGTGGCCAACCATGATTTGAGTCCTGGACCTGGCAGCTTGCTTTCTCACCCCCTCCCATCTTCTCTCTAGGGAATTAAAAAATAGTAATAATAAATAATTTTAAATAATTCTCTTAAAAAACAAAACAAAAAAGAGAAGTTTAGCTTAACAATTAAAGGTAAACATTCTGTTTTTGAAAAGGCAAACATTTTGCTGTATATGGCTGAAGTCACTGGAAACAAACAGGAATAGCCTCTTACTTTTAGGACTCGCTCTTATGTGAGATATGAGGGGGCCATAAAACTACAGGCATTGAAAGTATTTTTAACCCCCTAGAGGTAATAGCATCTGGTCAAGGGATACTTGGAATCCTCGGAAGGCAGCATAATCAATTTGTTTTGCCAGGCTTCGGGTAAGAGGTAAAAACGCCCTACTCCAGTTACTTTAAGGTATATCATACAGCGAAATGAACCCTTTTAAAAAAATAGTTCTGACAAGCATAAGCAGTCTTGTGAACATCCCACAATCAAGATAGAGGACTGTTTTCCGTCTCTCCAAAAAAAATTCCCTTACATTCTTTGTGATCATCCTCTTCCCTACATCCTGGTAACCACTGGTGCTGTTGCAGAACAGCACATAAATAGAATCACCCAGTACATTGCTTTTTGAGTCTGACTTTTTCACTTACCATTGTGTATTTGAGATTCATCCATGTTGTTATATGTAGCAATAGCTCATTTTTTATTGCTACATATTGATCTAGTCTGCTATATGGATCTATCACATTTTGTACATTTCTCAGTTGGGGATTGTTTTGGGTATCTGGCCTTCATAAAACCTTCCTAAACATTCATGTGTTTTGTTTTGATTTTCTTTTTAATTGCCAGTGGGCACATGAACTTGGCCACAAAGAAAGCACCCGTCGGTGGAGCCTAGTCTTGCTGCAATCCTTTTACTCTTCATTTCTTCGTCCTGTCAGGATCATGGGCAGATATGCATGCGTGCCCATCATGTTTTTCAAGGCTCCAGGGCTAGGATTCAAACTATGATGGGAGATCTGTCCTCCCTGTGTATAGAGCTGGCCTGTTTTTGTTTCAAAAATAAGTTTTTATTTGACTTGGGTAAATACCTGAAAGTGGGATTTCTTGGTCATATGGTAAGCATTTGCTTACCTTTATTAAAAGGAACTGTCGGGACCAGTGGTGGCTTGGTGGTTGAGACGGTGGACACTCCCACGTGGCTGAAAACAGTTTGAGTCCCAGACCTGGTGGCTTGCTTTCTCACTTTCTCTCTCTCTGTCTCTCTCTGGTCAAATTAAAAATAAATTAATCAAGTTAAATAAATAATTCTCTAAACAAAAAAAAGCAACTATCAAACCTTTGAGTAGAGTTTTAAATCAAGATATGCCAATTTGAACATGGAATGCATTCAGACTAAAAGGGATGGCTAGGGCACATGTGCTTGCGTTGGTTAGGATCGTGCTCCAGTAAATGGAATAGTAAATTACCGTGCTTATATGTAAAGAATTTTCTTTTTCCCAATTATGAAACAGGCCAAGACTGCTGTTGATGCTTGACAGTGCCATTAGGCACAGAATATAGTTGCTCCTTATATGGTTTTCATCCTCATGCCTGCTTATCCAGATAGTAAGCCCACATTTTAGGCAGGAAGGAAAGAAGGCAAAAGGCACATATAGCGCAGTTTTCTCCTTTTCACTGAGAAAACAGTGAAAACTTCAGTTTTTAGCTCCAGCCAGATATCCATATAGAGATCATTGGCTAGAAGGTGATTGGTTGGCTGCCTTTAGTGGCAGTGGAGCTGATGGAATGCCCCAAACAAAATGACTAAGGAAGGGAGGAGGATGGCCTTTAGTACTGTTTGCCTGAGTGTTTGGTGGCTCAGTTTGAAGCTCGGTAGATTTCAGAACTATTTGTGGAATTTGGAGTTCTACCCTTGTGGTAAAGGATTGACTTGAGCAAGTGTTTAATATGCTTATTGATTGTTTTCGTGCAGGAAAGGTGGGGCAGTGGGGGTAGAGTCTAACTTGGTTTCTAGGGTATAGAGTATGCTGTGACTATGACCACAAGTGCCTTGAAGAGGAATTGGCCTAATCTTTTGAGTAAGTGAGGGTACAGATTTGTGGAATTTACAGGTGCTTAGTATAATGAGGAAATTGGGTGAGAATGACAATTTTTGATGAAGTTTATTTGTACCCATGATATTACCTTGTTAGTGCTTAGAAATGATTTTTTTGATATTTAACTAATTGTATTGAGATTTTGTTTTCAAGTTCTTGCTCTTTAACATATTTTGAGGTGTTTGTACTTTTTTCCATATGTGTAACTTTATTCAAAGAAAATATAAGAAATATTCTCTTTTGGTATATTTGATATATTTCTCAAAATTTACAGTAATAATCTTCCAGCTAACAGTTTTTATTACTATTTTTTTAATGTTGGGTTTTTATTTTTTTAAGAATTATTTTATTGAACTTCATTTATTTTATTTATTT